TTTTTTGCATTAATAGTTGTGTATTTCTCATTGAGGATAAGGTATAATTGAGCAAGATTTAGAGCTACTAAATTTTAGTTGAAAATAGAATAAGGTAGTACAGAGTTATAGAAGGTAAGGATTTTGAAATAGTTGAGTTCAGTAAAAAGAGTCTTGGTAAATTCTTTAAGTAGTCCTTTGAGTATAGAGTGAAGGATATTAAAAGAGATAGAAACATCCTTATTAATATCAGGAAGATTTTCGTGAATGAAGTTAATAAGAAATTGAGGTTGTAGACTAGCTATTTTTTTAATTAAATAGAAATATGTAAATTTAAGTTCTTTGGTAAATTGGATTACTGGTTTAATAATCTTGCCAGAGTAACCTTCAATGAAGTAAGGTGTGCGAGTATATTGTCAAGTCTGGTGTAAAGTTTCATAGATTCAGTAATTGAAAATTTTTGGAACCAGTCAAGATTCTTTATCAGCAAATTTATAAAGCCGAAAAATTTCGAAAAAATTTGCAATATGCAAAAATAATGAAAATTTTCGAAAAAATTTTCAAAATTTTTCGAAATTTTATAATTTCAAAAAATTTTGAAAAATATTTTGAAATATTTCAAAAATATTTTCAAAAATTTTTATTATTTTTGTATGCTACAAATTTTATTAAAATTTGCTATATATGGTTAGCTTTCTGATACAAATCAACTATCAAAATTTTATGGTGCTAATTTAAAGATCTTTGCACTTTTTAAAATGTATTATTATTTTTTGATCTTTAGTTATATATTTTTATTTTTGCACAAAATTTTTTATACTGTAATTGATGACAGAATTAAAGAGTGACTTTTATTGGCAGGTAAATAAAAATCATATATAATATAGAACAATCTAGTATATAGAACTCCTGTCTTTAAATAAAAACAATAATAAAGAGATTGGTACAGCATCTCTAATACTCTCCTAATTTTGGGTGTAACAGGGTATATGCAGATTGTTGCATATTGATTTTCTTTTTTTATTAATATATGCTTACTATTTTAATCTAGATCTCAGATCTAGATCTGTCAAATCGATCATATTTGTTTTTGTTTTTTTTTTATTCATTTAACTTCTTTTTTCTTTAGGTTTGTATAAGCTTGCTAAAATGTATTTTAAGGCTTCATTCTTGGGTAAGATTGCAGTCTTTTTCTTTTTTTTTCTATTTGTTGTTCGCTAACTTTTTTTTCCTTTTTAGGTTCGTGTAGGCTTGCTAGATTTTGAATCAGGAATTTTGGAGCTTCGTTCTTGGGTAAAATTATAGTGTTTTTTTGTTTTCTTTTGGTATTATTTGTTAAATTCTTTATTCTCTCTTAGGCTCTTGTGGGCTTGCCAGAATGTGAAATCAAGAGCTTTGGGGCTTCGTTCTTAGTTAAGATTATATTTTTGTTTGTTTTTTTTCTTGTTTTTTTTTTGTTGCTATTTGCCAAACTCTTCATTCTTTTCTTTTTAGATCCTTGTAGGCTTGCTGAAATGTAGAATCAGAAACTTCAAAGTTTCGTTCTCAGGTAGAATAATGTTTTTCTTTGTTTCTTTTTGTTGTCTTTCGCTAACTTCTCTTTTTTTAGGTTTGTGTAGGCTTGCCGAAATGTCGAATCAGGACTTTGGGGCTTCGTTTTTGGTTTTTTTTCATTTTTTGTTCTTTTTGTTATTTCTTTTTTGTTATCACTTGCTAACTTCTTAGTTCATTTTTCTTTAAGTTCGTGTATGATTGTGAAATGTTGAATCAAGGCTTTGGGGCTTTATTCTCAAATAAGATTATGTTCTCTTTTTTTTTTTTTACTTTTGTTGTTTTTCTTGTCATTCGCTCATTTTTTTGCTCTTTTTCTCCTCATTAGCTTCGTGTAGGCCTGTCGGAACGTTGAATCAATTTTGGTGCTTTGTTTTTGGGTAAGATTAAGTTTTTTCTTCTTGTTGTTTCTTTTGTTATCATTTGCTAATTTCATCGCACTTTTTCTCTTTCTTAGGTTCGTGTAGTGCTTGCCAAAATGTTGAATAAGAATTTTAGTGCTTCGTTCTCAGGTAAGAGTATGTTCTCTTTTTTTTTTTTGTTATTTCTCTTTGTTGTCTTACTAATTCCTTTGCCCATTTCTCTTTTTTAGATTTATGTAGGCTTGCTAGAATATTAAATTGGGGACTTAAGAATTTCGTTCTCTGGTAAGATAATAAATATTTTTTTATTTTGTTTTTATTTTGTTTTTCTTTTGTTATTTGACTTCAATTTTTTTTTTTAGATTTGTGTAGACTATATCGGAACATGAAATCAAGATTATGTTTTTCTTTTTTTTCTTTTTGTTGTTTTTCTCTTATTGTTTACTAACTTTTTTTTTTTTTCTGTGGGCTTTAAAATTATTATTTTTGGATATAGACCGAAAAAAGCATAGTGTTAGACATGTTATTCTAACATAACAATTCAAAGATGAACAAGTGAAATAAGAATATCGACGATTGTATAAAGGAGTTCTGGCTTAGAACTTATAATTACGAATGCAGCGATATAAATATGCGACTCTCAAAAGACAATACGGGAATGAACAAATGGAAATAAGGATCAATATTGATAGGAACAGAATTGGAGTTGAAAAGGATAAATATATAGGATGATCATAATCGGAATTTTAGTAGAATTGGAGTGAAAAGGACAAACATAAAATATTAAAGTCAGCAGTGCCAGAGAATTCTAGTAAAACAATTGTACTAAAAACTGTTACAAGAGCAAAATTTAATTATGATAGCATAGTATAGTATTTATTATATAATTGTTATTTAATAAAAAAATTGTATAAAAGTTATGTAACAAAATAAATAAAATAAATGTATTGATTTGCAGCTGTGAGAACCAAGCTTAAAACGGCGAGCGACCCTTCAGAAGAACTTCTATCCAAGTCATTATCAACATCATTAGACTCCTATGACTTGGAAATATGCTATAACAAATTTCTTGCCTATTACAAACTCCCTCTAC